TATGCCCAGGAGACCAATGTAATGGCAGAGACCTGATTGAAGGGTCAACCCGGCTTTTGTTGGTTTCAAAATACTCTGTTCCTTAGCGCTGTGATAGTACTACACTCCTGTGGTTTTCAGTTACGCAGATGATACAATCATTACCAAAGAACAAATGCAGGTTTGAACAAAATTTGCTTTCGGTTCTTGGTACTGAGTTATGATAAAATGACAGTTTTCTTTGTGCAGGTGATGCCAGGCAACAGTTTCAATCCTTTGTACCATAAATACACATAAAAAGCTCCCAGTTTGACGCACATCGGCAAAAATAAGGTCTGTATGACTTTTGCAGCTGCAGCGTAGCCTTTGTCCTGTGCGCAGTAAAGCATCAATGCACACACACATACACACACGCACACACTGTAGGGGAGCTACCCTGTCATCTTCCTGGCAGCAAAGCGGGTCCCAGATGTCTGCCTCCTCCTGTTAGCAGGCACACAAGCTCCCACTGTCACTCCCCAGGTCTTTGTTCTCACTCTGCAACATATTGTCTCTACACCAGAAAATGCTCAGCAGAAGTTTTTTTCTAAAGTAGACAGACTTAGTCCTTGTATAGGTCCACGTGTTGAACTGGTTTGGAAATACATGAAAGTTGATGATAATATGAATTAGTTTTCATCAGAAAAGTCTGTTCTTTGTACACTTTCTATATGCTTTTAAAATAGCAAATGACAAAATACTGAAATATTAAACAGCTCTACTTAGCTAACAGGGGAAAAAATAATTTGAAATACAGTATCAAGGTATCCAGGTTGAATTATCTCAGGCAAATCTCTAACTCTAGTTGGATGGTTTTTTGACATCTCTACTAATTTTATTTCTGGAACCCTCGTAATGTCTTTTCTTCTTTCTTGTTTGGTCCAACGGATACTTTAACAAACACAGAGTATATGAAAGTAAAACCACAGGGCTAAATGCATACTTTGGTAAGAAACTAAATGTAATTTATTTAATAAAAAGGGGTGTGTAATTTTTCATTTTTTTCAAAATGAAAAAAATTGAAAAAAATGGTTGGGAACCCCTGCTCTATACCATGTGGCCGCTCCTATTTTCTGTCCATGCCTGTGTAGAAATCTCAAAAATGAACAATTACTTTATTACTTCCTTTGTTGTTGCCTGAGGTTTTTCCTCAACTCACTTTAACATTAACCTGTAAAACATGACACTGTTAACACAGAGGCTTGTTTTGTGCCATGGGTCATCAAATATTAGGCCGTCCTCAAGCCTGCATCGTAAACAAAATATCTTTTCGCACTAAAGATCCTTATCGTCTTCTCATCTGTTCTCTAACAATACGTGACGTAACTTTATATGTTCTCTGGTTGTCAGCCACACCTCAGCTAGAATTTTTTACTTAATCACACACACAAAACAATCTGTGCTATGTGACTTGAGAGGCAGTAAAAAAAAACCCAACAACAACCCTGAACTCTCACTGCAATTATAAGAATAATACATTTAAATACCTGCTATTCCTGTTAAAACCATGAAGTTTTCACATTTCTTTTACATTTAGCCATGATAACAACCACAGTGTCTGACAGTCAATTCTCACTTTTTACAGTTGAACTTGTGTCAAAACATCTTGCACAAATGAGTCATTGCAAATCCTGTCCAAGCAAGAGTTGCAAAATGTGTTTAGCCACATGTTCTTATTTCCAGATTTTTTTTCTTTTTTTTTAATTTCTCTTCGCCACATGTTCTTATTTCCAGATTTTTTCCTTTTTTTTAATTTCTCTTCCCCCCATGATGATAATTTTATGCAGTAGAAAACCACAAAGCCCTGTTGACTAAGACACACACACGAAGAGGGAAGTTTGGCCGTGAGCGGTGTCCGTCCACACAAACTGAGGTCCGTGGGATCAACTACGTCCACATTTGGTTAAATACCCACATGTCCCAGCTGGTGAGGCGTCATGCTCGTTCATGTTTGGGGATAAACCCAACACCAGCCAAAGCCACTGACACTGCCGGTGCACTGGGCTCCAGCTGAACCAGCTCTGCTCACTCCCTCCTTTGTCTTGGCGTCAAACGGAGCCAAATGTTTTTCTTCCTCCTCCTGCTGCTAAGCAACCTGGGAGATTAAGAATGTGTTTTGCAGAGTCAGCTAGTTTGGGTGAAGTGCTTGTGTGCCTTTCCGTGCCCTGTCTGGGTTAGCACTTTTCTATTTTTAAGGTTTTAAAAAGACACCCCCAACAGTTCCACCTGGTGCATCCTCTCTGTTATATGAATGGAAGTACTGGCAGCTGTGGTTGGACGCAGACTGCAACAGTGTATGGTTTTTTCCAGGAGTGTTGGAAAACATGTGTGAGCACTTGGAGAGGAATTAGACCGAATTTTATTATTGCAGTCTTTCAATGGAACAGATTTTAGTACTGGTACACTTTATCCAAAATAAGACATGTTTATTTATTTTTAATCATTAGTTTTTCTTTTACCCTATCATGTTTTCCCTAACTTAATTATTTTTAATTAAAATATTAAAAATGATTAAATAAGGAGAATATAAATATTTAGCTATACCAAGCTAATCTTTTTGTTTTCCCCAACATATATGCTAACATTTATGCTATTTTTTTGCAGTTGTTGCTTTACTTGCTAATAAGTGCTACCTGTTTCTGGGCTACCTTCATATATTTTTGGCTAACTCTTGACAGAGAAATTCATAAAGTTAAGTGGAGAAGACTTGATTTCCATGTCGAATAAATTCATTAAAAAAAAAAAAATTAATTGTACTGCACAGGTTCCACAACTGCTTCCTAAAGTTTGACACGGAAGTAGCAAAATTAGCGCGAGCCAGCATTTTTAGCACACTCAGACACCAAGTTGTCTATTTTACTTTGACTTTGTACCAAACACACAGTAAATAATCAACCAGAGAGACGTTAATATGATGCCAAGATAGGAAATCTTTTATTACAGAGAAAAAAAAAACTTTTTCTTCCAAAATATAGAAATCTGTACAACTTCCGCACAATCAATTTACATGAACTGTACAAATTTACAGCAGTTCATCACAACATACCCAAGGAAAAGAAACTGAACACAATAAAGATGTACTGACAGAGATCACAAGATAGACAGCTTTTCTTCTTGGGTAAGCTTAAGATTTTTTTGTCTATTTTCTGGTTTTGTAAGTAAATAGAAAAAAAAGGAAAAACTGAACAGAAAAAGTGAAAAAGAAAAAAAAAGAAAAACAAAGGATACGTCTAACATTACAGATCATGGAAACTATTTTTTTTAACCAAAAAACAACTTTGGTCCTTGCCAACACTCCCATCACAAATGGCTTCACTTACAAAAAAAGTTATTCATGTTAAAAGATGAAAAACAAATAAAAAGGATAACACCTAAAAAACACCTTTAGAATAGCAATTATTGGCACTTCCCATGTGTAATGTTATGCACTCTACCATTTGTTGTACAGTTACAATACATTCTACATTTATATGTAAAACACTTTTTAAAATGTGAAAGTGGCAATAATTCAACTAATCCATAACAATATTTAACGACAACAACAACAATAAAACTGCTGTTCCCTTCCTGTTTCATGTCTTAACATGCACAACAATTTTTCATAAGGGTATTTATTGAATGTCCGAGGCCTGAGTTTGGCAATACATTCCAGGAGAGACTTCTCGCGTCTCGAAAAAGTCACACAACTTCAACTTTTGACATATTTAGTGCATTTTATGTGCTATTCTTTATCTCTTGACTACTCAAAGCACTCTTGCGACAATTTTGTAACCTACGTGAGCACAAGCTGAATGGATTCCATTTAAATAATTCATAATTACTGAGCACTTAAAAGAACGTTGTTGACAGTAGAACAGCTGGGAGTTGAAATTGGTTTTGTTTTTTTTAATTTGTGGCTCTAAAGGGAGCAACTGTTAAAATCGGGTTATACCAGCAGATTTAAGAGAAAAACAAAAGGAACGGCAGAGTAAAAAGGTGACAAAAAAATCTACCTGTGTGACCATAAAATACATCTAGAGAATTGAGAGATGATCATCTCGCGTCGGATATATAGCCCAATCTCAAAACATCTTTTCAATAAAAAATATATGCCATGATGGAGCAGTGTGGCTTTGAAACTGGTGTTTTCATCATGGAAACCAAAGCTCCAGGCTTCCTTCCCAGCATGCTTCTCTCCAAGCCAACAAGGAACCACTGCTCTTCACATATTGAAGACTGAAGGGAGTATCAGCGGAGGGCGAGGATGGTGGGGGTTGCAGTGCGTCAAAGGCTATAACTCTATTACCCATGATCCTTTCAGGCTTAGGGAAGCTTTAACTGGTGTGGATCTGACTGTGAGCAGCTAAACCAAGCATGGCGTGATGGAACTGGGTCGTGCGATACTTGGTGCTGACCGCGTCACCCCCAGAACCAGGTGCCAGTTGGTGGCAGATGGGGGTGGGTATGTCAGACAGCCATCACATCCATGTAAACAGTTGCTACTCAAAATCAGTAATCAAGTGCAGCGCATTTCACCGAGATGCAAACAAAAAACCGAACGGCCTAGTACCCTCAATTCTTCATCTTTGATCTGTTTATACCTAAACCCCCCTCCCCTATCCTCCACCACCAGTGCAGCTTGAGCACGCCAAGCAAGTGTGCTGGGTCTTTTTTTTTTTTTAATCCATTACCTAAAGGGAGGGTTCTGAGGGCCTGTGGTCAGGGTCTGGGGGTTGGGGTTTGGTGTTGACTAAGTCCAGAAGGGGGGCTGAAGGGATTTTAGCTGCCCTGGACAAAAGAGAAGAGTCCGGCCCTATACCCCCCTTCTTTCACACCAGTTACCCCCTACCCAAAAGCCCTGCCTTCCTAACCCAACTCCCTGCGGTAATGAATGATGATATGTGTCACATTAAGTCTACCTGTATCCACAGGGGGTCAGCTAGCAGCGTGCTGGCTTGCGTTTGACTGAACAGGAGGTCTGAGCTCAGGGAGTGGGGGTTGATATGTGGCAGTCGAGGCACTATAACCCACTGCACCAAGATGGGTGGAGGGTGAGAGGGGGATTCAAAGCTGCCAGATTTGAAAGAGGACACCTAACCGTGGGGCATCCGGGCAGCACTCTACACACCAGGCTGGGCTCACAGAAGCCTGATTCTACCCATCATCCCAAAAGAAAAAGAAAAATGGCTCATAATCTGTGACAGTGAGGTCCCCAGTAAAGCCTTGCACCTCCAGTGCTCACCGTTTACAAAGACATTGGAAAAAGTCAAAAGAATGGAGATGGCTGCTGAGGCCTTTGGATGTTTTAGTTCAAGTTAAAAATCAATATCTAAACAGCTCCAGACCTCCCTTTGGCCAAAGTCTCACACAAACTAGTTGCTCCGCAGGACCTAATCAACAATGCAAATCTGTGTTTTTGAATCAGATGTGGAGGGGGAGGACGTTGGGGTCTAACGGGGGCAGCCCATCTTTTCTCTGCCAGATCAAAACAGTGCCATAAGAACGGATGAAGGAACGTTGCTAACCTACCACCTAAAAACAAACAGCTCTGAAATGTTCACAAATACAGTGTTAAAAAGTATAAGGAAGAAAGTTCTCGGAATCCGGAGTTGCACTCTCCCGATTTAAAACTCATTAGGCGCCAGTCTACTCCCAGCAGGGAGCTACAGTATGAACAATGACCAAAAACAAGAAGGGGCAGGTTGATAAAATGAGTGGTGTGGAAACATGACATTCGAATGGATGGAATGCAGGCGATTTTCTCTCTTTTCCGCTTAAAAAAAAAAGTGTGCACATTCCACACAATCTCACGTCAAAGTGCATTCAATATCAGTTCTACCGGGGCCACACCGGACCAGAATTTGGGTGAAAAAAAAAAAAAAAAAAAACCCCTTCTCTATTTGCTACACTTAATTCAAATTTGGTGAAGAGTGAGACAATGGTAGTGGAACTTGATTGTGAATTTCAACAACATTCATTTAAATTAGAGATGGGGGAGGCTGGAGGAGACCAGTCCTCCATCCTTCTCCAGAAAGCTACACATTAATGTTGGCAATTTGGGCAGGTGGTGGTGGGGGTTGGGGGGTCAGTGGACTAACAGTGCAACAAGACACACTGGTATCCATAGGTAGCAGGTGTCAGACGACATTCCACTTGCACTAGGCTGAGATAAAGGTTTTGTGGAAATTGATAAAGGTGGAAGATGTTCTGAGGAGCTGAAGTTGAGATATACGCATTTCCCCACTTGAAAAAAAAGAAAAGAAAACCAATTCCCTGTGGTCCAATGGTGTTTTTGTAAAGAAAATAGAGAAGCTCTCATTTAAGCATTTCTTTACCTTGAGTTTGGAATGTCAATGGCTGACCTCAACCTCAGCTCCTTCCAACTAAAACCAATTAAATTCATGAGATAAATTCATAGTTTGAAATACAAATCCTTGCAAATTTGTGGTGGTGTTTCAACAGTTTACCCACAGTAGCCTCATGTAAGGAAAGTGCAAAGTCACTGACAGCCAACCTACGGAGGTGAAGCTGATCACCGATGATGTTCACGGTGTCGAGGGAGGAGGTGCCAGTCATAAATGGGGTTCCTGTTTGGTTGGTTGGTTGGGTGGTTGGTTGTTAGCTGCCCCGAAAGTTCCACTTCCACCAAGCCTCTCCTGAAAACCGGAGTGCTCAGCTATATCCGATGACACAACAGAACAGATGACAAAGGGGGAGATGGGGTAAAAAATATCAAACCTACAAGGTTTCCATCACCTGGATGATAGGCCACATCCTCTGTTTCAGTTTTTTTTTTTCTTTTTCTCTTCTTTCACTATTTCATTTCATATTCTTAGCTTTAAAACGGCTCACCCTGATCTGGTCAAATGACCAGGCACGGCGTGACCCTGAACAAAAGTAGGCCGAGAGGGTGTTTCAACGGTGTGCCTGTCTAGCTGGACACAGTCATCATATTGTAGGCTTTGGAGGGACTGGTTCTGCCCAGCACCATCAGTTCCTCCTTGCAGCTGATGTGACTGTCCACCATGGGGTTCATCGCCCCACTGTTTCCTGAGGAGGAGCCAATGGCGGCGCTGGTGGTGTTCACCGGCATCATGATGGGGCCGGGCTTAGACTCGTACAGGACGCAGATGGAGCCGTCTTCACCAATGCGGTACGAAACCTCAAAGGGGTCCACCCAGAGTGTGAGCTCAGTGGGCAGCAGCAGGTAGAGTTGCTGGATGGTCAGGCCGATGCGCTGGCCCGCCTGCCACACCAGTGGGTCCATCTTGTGGTTGATGCGAATGCAACGGTAACCAGAACCCTTGCAGGGCCTGTCTGGGAACCAATGGTGCTTGTATTGCTCTGCAGACACAAAGAGAAGAGACAAAGAAGGAGAGATTAGCAAAGAGGTAATTTAAGAAGAAAAAAAAAAATCAAGACTGCAGCAGCATTCTACTGGAGCCACGATCATAAAATAAGCAAATAAAGGTGCAGACATGAAAGGCCATAAAGAAGTAGTGGAGTGATCTGCCGAGGGAGCAAGGGTTGAAATGCAGACAAACAAGGCTGTGGTGTATGACGCAATAATCCATATAAATCTGCACAATGAACAATGAACACGGGCACACATCGAGAGGCTATCGGTTGGTCATAAAATTGGCAGTCAGTTCAGGAGCCCATGTGACAAATAGAGGGCCAATGAACTGCACAACCAACAACCCAACACCCCTCCACCCCAAATCCACGATTCTCTATCGTCAGCAAAGTCGCAAAGTCTCCATGACTGCCTGAACAAAAACAACATAAGTGTCGAAGTCCAGGCTCAGGCCCAGCTATCTGAGACAAACACACAGACACAAGGCTCCGCCTTTTAAAGGGCGATGAAGCTTCCTCACTTAAGCCGCCACCCCCTCCCTCCCACACGCTTGAGTGGAAATTTTGTGGGAGCAGTGAAACTCGGCAGAACGGTGACTCACTAGTGACGCTACACTCACAACTGACTGAATGCTCTTCAGACATTTTGAGTTCCTCAGATGAGAGGAAAACTACCCTGTCAACTGTCCTGACTAAGAAGTGAAATATGGCTGACCCCTCCCCCCCACACACACACACACTTCTTCATTCCTCAGCTCAGAAAAACATTTTCAATGCTCCAGGACAGTTTTGACTCATGAAAAACTTTCTCTGAATAACTTAAGCTACTGTGAGCTTGTTCACAGCAGTACTTGGATGTCTAGATGTATGGATACTTTTGTCTTTTTCTATTGAGAATGCCCCCCCCCACTTCCAACACACACGCGCCAACCCCCGCCCCCCTCCCATTTAGCCCAACAAAGCTCATCCATATTGAGTTACCATTGATGGCAACTGCATTGTAAGGAGAGAAAAATGAAGGAGGCTGGAGAAACCTCAGAGCCGCAGGCCACCTGTATGCATCCAACAGGATAACAATAACCCCCCCCTCCCACGCTTTTTCTCTTACAGACGGCTGTAAACCTCCAAGCTAATGGAGAGTCTGGCACTGTGAAAAAACACAAGGGGCCAGGATGATCTTTCAGATGCCAGTCCTGAGCCACAAAAACAGCTTATCCACAAACCCTGGAGCAGCTGGGGAGGGATCAGCTCAGCTATTCTTAAAAACCAGGGCATGGATGTGAGTGGGGGTGGAAAAGGGCATCAACAACAGTAAACAGTAGAGAGTAGAGTATTCTTCTTTTTTTTTCAGTGTCCCACGTATTTGAAAATACACAAACAAAATAAACAATTGGAGCAGGCATTTGTCAACATTACTCTAAAATTAAAGACTGACCAAAAATTGCTAAGAAGTTACATAAAATAAATGCAAATAGTTTTCTACTGGAAAAAAAATATGGTAAACATACATGAAATAAAAATAATAAATAAGAAAAACATACAGGAACAGGTGAAAGAGCTAACAATTAGCCAAAACAGAAATTAACCAAGAAATAGATTGATGTGCACTAATAAGGATTGGCTGCATGGCATTTACGTTAGGAGCAGAACTAATAATTAGGTATTATTCATAATGCAGGTTTTTTTTTTGTATTGGCAGCTATCTTCTATTTACTGTCCCTGTCAGTGATGTCTGCTTATGTGACTATCAGTTTAATCCTAAATGCAGTTACTGTTATAAACAACAGCGTTATGGTCCAGGCTCGTGTTTACATCTTTGAAATGTGGGGCAGCTCTGACTGCTGCTGTGGATTCCCCCCCCCCCTCCTCCTCCTCCATCTTTAATGTCCTCCTCCCCCTATAGGAGACCACAGCACCTCCCCCACACTGAGGCCTAGCTAGAAAACTCCATTAACTTTTGTCTGTTTACAAACACAGACTCGGTCGACGACTTCTGGCTCTGGTGTTTTTCACCAAAATGGAAATTCACTACTAACTGCCAAACACATTTTAAGAAATTAAAAAAAAAGTACAGAACAGTAAAGGGTCAAGAACTATAAAATTTACAATTTTTCACCAATGAACAAAATGGAGAACCCCCTCGTTTATTGTTCCTTTGACTCCTTTGAAAAGGAAATAATCAGTTTTTGACGTGGAACTGGATCACTGACGACTGTGTTGATTATTTGGAAACTGTCTTGACTTTGCTCAACAATTACTATATCGTCTGCTGTTTTTGTAAGAATTTGTGAGGAATTTTCAAAAAGTATTACTACGCCGTGTGCTGTTTGATTATATGTGAGGCTAAAAAATGTAGGTCATCTGCTGCTGTGGATGGACTGGAGCAGATGTATGGGCTGCGTGAGCCCAGAGGAATGTGTTTACGGCAGGAAATGGAAAACAATCGACATGGAAAAAAACCTGACCCTGAGAGAAAAGAGCGGTCTTACTGAACCTGTGTACTAAAACTAATGCTACAGACGTTAATAGTACGGTTTTATCGTGTACAAATAACAATTTTCCCAGTGTGGGATCAATAGAGATCAACCTTAAACATTATAACCGTGGTGCATATTTCCGTGAGGTCGGACATTGTTGATTATCTGATTTAATTTGACGTTCATGGCCCGACCGCCACAAAAAGATTACATAAAGATAAAAACTAAAGATATATGTATAATAATATTGTAAACATGTCTTTTAGTCTTTAGTTAATCTATTTTTTTGGGAATTGTGCATGGTAAAATCGTTGTATCCTCACGATAAACACATTTCCTCCTGTGCATTACGTAATTGAGCAGCCACCAACTCACTGGAGGCTGTTTTGCTCTATTCTTCTCTGAACTGTATCGACTGAGGCGCACTTCCTTGTTCAAGCCAAGCGTCGCTGTTTTCCTGATTCTTCGCCTTTTTTCTATACTTTTAGCCGATTAGTGTGTCACCAAATTGTGTTTTTGTAATCAAATCCATTCGTGGTTGTGATTTTGATTGTGAAAACGTCGAATATTTGGCTTGTGTTATGACACTTTGTCGTTTTTTTTTCCACCCCCCCCCCTCTCAGACGTGCGCAAACAGTGTGCGCGCTGGCGAGCGCTGATAGTGATACTTGGAGAGAACAAAGAAGCTTCTCCTCAGCGATCTTTCTCCACACAAACAACCCAGGTTTAATCAGTATGTAACCCACAATCACCCAAATTCGGTATAAAGAGATATTTGGCACCGTGCGGGGTGTAATTCTGTGCGTAAAATGCGTTTTTTTTTTCTTACCTGCCAGAATGTCATGTAAGCTTTGGCTGAATGTTTGGACCTGTCGGTCGTTTACGTGTCCTTTTACCCTCAGAAATCTCGTCAGAAATCCGACGGCGGCGTTGATCTCTGGTTTCATCGTTCCCCGAGCACAAAGGGTATGCATTGAAAAAAGCAACGGCGGCGATCCGTGCGCTTTTGTCTGGTGGTGGTGCGGTGTTTTTTTCTTTTTTTCTTCTGTTTATTTCTCCCAGTGTCTCCACTTGTGGTCGAGGATCCGTAAATGTTGACTCTTGGCGTTTAGTTACAGAGAGGTAGAGGAAAGTCAGGCTTCTGCTGTGTGGATCCGTGCACTACAGTGTTGTTGGTAAATAACTGAAGGTTGATTCAACTAGGGGGGCGGAGGTCCCTTATTGCCACGTGCACCAACCTCCTCCCTGATAACTTTCCTTTCCCGAGTGAGGCTGCTGGAGTTGAGGAGCTGGCTTTTATAACGCCCCGTCCTCCGCCTCCTCCACGGCTACGTCACAAGCTGCTACAGCAACAGCGGCCAACCAATCACAGCCCACGGCTACAGCTGACGGTCCACATATAGGAGGAGTGCGGTGGCTTACGTCACTGCTCTGAAAATAAACAAGACTAGCGCACACACACACACAGTATACATACATCTGTGGATCACAGCACGAAGCTACAGCCTTTCATGAGCTGTGGAACATATGGCAGCGTTTAAAAGGACATAAAAGACAGGACAGTGTTGTTTTTTTGCAAAATAAAAAAAGATGTAAATAAAACTAGACTCTACCATCCCATTGCAGGAAATGGTCTGGCAATTTTGACGACCATGGTTTTGGCATCATGGCTGTATTTTGCCTGCAACCAGGATCAAGAATGGTCCTAGTGGTCAAACATGCACACAGCATGTGCCCAATAAAAGTTAATCTGGAGGTTTCTAACACAAAAGACTGTTGTTTGAGGTCGTCAGGTCCAATAAAATCTAAATATGCTGAAAAATAGTCCGTGGGATATATGTATATAAACATGCATTTAAAAATAGGTTTGCTGTTTTTCCAGTAGTCGTTTTTTGGAACACGCATGGATTTTGTTAGTTAGATGTGTGACTTGGTTTTGCTTCGTGCTGTTGGTCTTCACACATTAACTGACATGTATCTGAGTTTTTAACGTTAAATAGTTATAAGAGTTCCTACATCATCTACCTGGTGTAAGCCAAGGTACATGGGAGTATTTGCACTCCTTCCAAGTTAGATTGAAAACATCAATTTTTGGTGATTTTTTTTAGGTCACTGATTAAAAGCAACAACAGCAGACTGGTCTGGTTTGATTGCGTGATGATTGCAGCACTCGACGGGTCATCAGGAGAGTGTTCGCTCCAAACAAAGCTCTGCAGTCCCTACTTGTCCACTGATTGTAATGAGCAGGTAGCAAATGACTGACGGACTGACCTCTAGGAACAAAAACCCAGAGTGCCGTCACCTCCTCCGTGCTTAACGAGGTCGCACTCAGGACTGGGTTTTTGTGTCCAGTGATTTGGGGATCAGCCAGTTTCACGTGTGGATAAACATGCACAGGCTTGTGTTAACACAGGGTGACACACAACATGACAACCCAGAGGAGTTAGAACTCACTTCCTGTCACTGTCTCATGTACACACCTGCGTAAATACACGTAGGCCGGCCCTGAATCAGCAACACGTTTGAACAAAGGTTCTTGTGAATATCTTAAGACATGCAGAAGGTCTGGCCTCTCATTGTCTACCATCAGATGGTCATCAACAGCGAAGCCTTTGTTTCAAAACCCCCATGGCTAAGATGTTTAGAAGAACGTATCTTTACTTTCTTCTTCTAAAAGAGGCTCTTTCAGGAATAAGTTTTCACTTCTTCAGAGGTGAAACAAGTTCAAGAGAAGCTGTAGCTGCCCACACCGTCTCAAATGTACACAAAAAGGGAAACACTCGACTGATAAACAATATTTATTCATACATGTGTTAACCCTTAACATTTTCACAGGGTACAGATGTGAAACTTTGTCAAAAATCTAGATCTTTCTGAACGTTCTGGGCTTTTTTGGCTTTTTTCTAAACATTTAATAGTAAATTCCAACTTGCTAATTCACAGTGGTTACCTATTTTTGCTAACTTCCAATGCTAAACTTCTAACTTCTAAAAAAAAAACCTAATGCATCTTGTGACTATTTCTATTATAAATGGTTATGTTTGATTTAGATGATTATTTTGCTAACTTGGATTTTGTAAATTTGAGGTCATGCTGCTTTTTTATTGGCTGATTTTGTTTGGGTTAGTTTTGCTAAGTTATATTAGACATAATGAGATAGGACTTTAGCTACACACCATATATTATGATTCGTTGTGTACCTTGTGTATTTCTAAGGATGAAAAATCTGACCTGGACGGCTGACAACCTTCAGCCCCGCTCTTTTATTGGTGGGTCAGTGATACTTTGGCATTAAGTAGGACTCAGGAATGTGGGAGTGATGTGGAGAAATCACAGCTTATATGTCAAGGTCTTCAGGAGAAAGTTCAAAATGGGATTTTTAGCTATGGCTCATTTATCCATGAGGTCTTTTCCTTCTTCAACAAACAGACAGTTGTGTGAGACACACTGAAACTCAGCTGTCTTTCACCAAAGAGCAAGGTGTGTATGTGCGGGTGAAACTGGGAAGTGGGGGTTTATTCATGTATGGGCATGTACTGATTGTCAGCTGAGTGTTCTCCTCTTCATCTGAGCAGGCGTTAATTCGACATGACCAGTCAAAACATCTCAATAGTAACATGAAAATTAAAGAAAACCCTATTTAGGTATACAATAAATTCTACAAAGCAAAAAAGCAGAGCTAAAAAAAAAGTATTTTCCGTGAAGGGAATCCGCGAAACAAAACAAGAATTCAGGCGTTTGCAGCTGAAGTGAAATGCAGTTGCTGCAACAGGAGATGATCTCAGCCCACATAGGCTGCACTCGGTTGAAAGTGGTTTAAAGTATGTATTTACTTTCCAGGTCGTGCAGCAGTAGCAGTGATGCCCCATGTTTACCACATCCAACGGTTCACAGACAAATGCCTCATTACAGACTGTGTGTGTGTGTAGGTGTGTGTGGGTGTGCGGTTGACTTTCAGCCGCTCTGCAGGAGAGATACACAATCACAACACTATAAAGGAGAAAGAGAAACAAGGTACCAGGAACAACAGAGCAAAGGGTAACTGACTGAGCTCTGGAAAACCCCCAACCTTCCTGCTCGTGACGCTACATGACAAAAAACAAAAAACACCTGAAATAGTAAAACACATTTAATACCCAACGTGGTCTGCTGGTGGTTTAAAGCCACGGCCACCAGTAGAGGGTGAAATATGGTTGTTACCAGACGAGGGTGGGGTATCCTGTCGTTATGTCGGGCCATGACTTAGACTAATGAATGGGAGCTTTTATCTCTAAACCACACGAGAACTACAGCCGAGGTAAGAATGTCAGGTCAGGAAAGACGACGGAGGAAGAAAAACAGAGAGAGAAGGAGAGACCTTGGATGTTTGTGGGCAGAGCTTTCCAAACAATTTTTTTTTTTTGCGAACACACACGTTGTGTATGAACATCAAACAAGCAGAGAGAAAACACACACACACATTAACACGTGTTTGTGTTTTGTGAGTACTTCACATAGACATAATTAATTCCCCCCATTTTATACCCTTACCTTAATTAGTAAAAAATAATCCTAATCTCTAATCCTACCTCCAAATCAAATTGTCAGTCTCAAAATACACCCTAACACTCTGTTAGACTTGCAAAATCTCCCCAAGACGACAAAGTGTCCCCACAATAACATTTTCAAAACATTGTCCCCACAAGGACAGCATAACAGGAGCACACACACACACACACATACACAGTAGCAGCAAAAACTAACCAGCCTACATCGGTGGGTCACACAAAAGCCAGACCAGCAGAGGTTGGAGTTAT